TCAACCCAGGAAGCAGAGGTTGCAGTTAGCCGAGATTGCAACACTGCACTCCAGCCTAGTGACAGAGCAAAGCCCTCACAATTAAAAAAAAAAAAAAAAAAAAAAAAAAAAAAAGCTGTTTAATGTCTATGATCTACAGTGATGTCTCCTATTTTATTATAGATACTGGTAATTGGTGTCTTCTCTCTTGTTCTCAATTACTTTAATTAGAGCTTTATCTTAATTAAATGATCTTTTCCAAGATTTTTTCATTATTTTTCTCTACTTGCCCATATCCTATTTCAGTAATTTATTATTTTTATTATTTTATTCTTTTACATTACCTTGGGTTTACCTTGTATTCTTTAAAAGTTTAATTAGGCAGGAAATTAGATAATTGTAGTTTCATTCTAACATAAACATTTATATATACGGATTTCCTCCAAACATTGCTCTAGCTTAATTTCACAAATTTTTATCTTGCATTTTCACTATCACTCAGTCCAAAATATTTTCTGATTTCCCTTGGACATTTCTTGACCAACTGATTTTAAAAAAAAAAAAAAGTGTGTTACTTTCCAAATATTTGAAATTTAATTCCACTGTGGTCAAAGCTCTGCCCTATATAATCTTAATCCTTTTTACCTCATGGCTCAGCATGTGTTCTATTTTGGTGAATGTATCCTGTGCACGTGAAAAGAATGGGAATTCTCTAGCTGTAAGGTACAATAAGGTCATGAATGGCTGATAATAAAGTTCAAATCTTCTGAGTAAGTGATTTTGTTTTGTATTCATTGCTGTCACATTAAAATATCAATCTGATTGTGGGACTATTTCTGCCTTTAGTCAGTTTTTGTTTCATGTATTAAGTCACTCTGCATTAAGTATATACAAATTTATGACTGATATGTCCTCCTGATGAACTTTTGTTACAATGAAAAATCCACTTTACCTGATATAAAATTTTTCAATTGCAATCTATTTTACCTGATACTAACATAGTCATTTCAATCTTTTACCATTTTCTTAAAATATTTTTTTAAATGTTTTCAACTTACCTGTCTAATATTTCTCTGTAAACTGCACAAAATTGGGTCTGCACTTATGTATTTATTTATTTAGAGATGAAGTCTGGCTCTGTTACCCAGGCTGGAGTGCAGTGGTGCAATCTCAGCTCACTGCAACCTCCACCTCCTGGGTTCAAGCAATTCTCCTGCTTCAGCATCCCAAGTAGTTGGGGGTACATGGATGCGCCACCATGACTGGATAATTTTTGTATTTTTTTAGTAGGCGCAAGGTTTCACCATGTTGGCCAGGCTAATCTCAAACTCCTGACCTCCAGCGATCTACTCAAAGTGGTCTCCCAAAGTGGTGGAATTATGGGTGTGTGCCACTGCACCTGGCCTGGTGTTTATTTATTTTTGAGATAAAAGTCTTGCTCTGTCGCCCAGGCTGCAGTGCAGTGGCATGATCTCAGCTCACTGCAACCTCCACCTCCTGGGTTCAAGCAATTCTCATGCCTCAGCCCCCTGAGTAGCTGGGATTACAGGTGCCCTCCACCACACCCAGCTAATTTTTTGTATTTTTAGTAAGACAGGGTTTCAACATGTTGTCAGGCCTGGTCTCGAACTCCTGAGCTCAGGCAATCCGCCAGCCTTGGCATCCCAAAGTGCTAGGATTACAGGTGTAGGCCACTACGCCTGGCCTTGGCTTTTTATTTTTAATCCATGATGACAATCTGACAGCCTCTGTCTTTTAATTGGAGTGATTCTTCCATTGCTATTTAATGCAATTTTTGTATGATTAAGTTTGTATCTACCATTTTTACTACTAGTTTTCTATTTGTGGCCTGTGTTTTGTTCCTTAGCTTCCTTTCCAGACTTTTAAAAATAAATCTATATATACATTATCTCAATATATTTTATAGTTCCATTTTAGTTTTCAAGTTACACTTGAAGGCTCTACATATACCTTTTTGCATGGCTTTTCAGTTACTGCTCTAGAGATACAATATAAATCTTTAACTTTTCAAGGTCTACTTAGAATTAGTATTTTTACCATTTCACATAATATGTAGAAACCTGAAACCATGTAAGCCCACATGTACACACACATGAATTAAAAACTCCACAGGACACTATTTTATCCCTTTATTAAATGGTCACATGTATTATAAAGAAATTAAGGGTTAGGCTCAATGGTTCACACCTGTAATCCCAGCACTTCAGGAGGCTGAGGCGGGAGGATCACCTAAGATCAGGAGTTCCATACCAGCCTGACCAACAAGGTGAAACCCCATCTCTACTAAAAATACAAAAATTAGCCAGGCATGGTGGCGCATGCCTGTAGTCCCAGCTACTCCGGAGGCGGAAGCTGCAGTGAGCCGAGATCATGCCACCGCATTCCAGCCTGAGCAATGGAGCGAGACTCCATCTCAAAAAACTTAAAGAAAGAAAGAAAAAGAAATTAAGAAGGGGGAAAGCTGGAAGGAAAAAAAAAAAAAAAGAAAGGTTATTTTCCTATTTCTCAGTATCAGGGCAAAAATTTGTATATAATCAATAGTATATCTGTTCTTACTTCTCTTTAGCCTGTAAAATTCCCTTTACCATTTCCTGGTGTGCTTATCTTTTAGCAATTAGTTCTGTTATCTTTCATTTCATAATGGCTTTATTTCACCTTCATTTTTAAGATATTTTTACTGGTTATAAAATTCAGGGTTGGCAACTTCTTACTTTTACCATTGACTGATTTATTGATTGAGACAGAGCCTCACTCTGTCACCCAGGCTGGAGTGCAGTGGAGCGATTTCGGCTCACTGCAACGTCTGCCTCCCGGGTACAAGTGATTCACCTGGCTCAGCCTCCTGGGTAGCTGGAATTACAGGCACCTGCTATCACGCCAAGCTAATTTTTGTACTTCTAGCAGAGTAGGGGTTTCTCCATGTTGGCCAGTCTGGTCCTGAACTCCTGACCTCAGGTGATCCACCCGCCTAGGCCTCTCAAAGTTGAGAGATTATAAGCATGAATCACCACGCTTACGCACTTTAATCTTTTGAAAGATATTTTACTCTCTTCTGGCTCTCTACTACATTCTGATAAGAGTTCAGCCATTAATCATATAACTGTTCCCCGACATATGATGTATATTTATTCTTGCTGCTTTCATGGCTGGTTCTTTAATCTTTGGTTTTTCACAGTTTTACTCTGATGAAACTCTGTGTAGGTCTGTGTTCATTCTACTTGCTGTTTCTTAAGCATCTTGATGTTGTACATTAATGTCTTTCATCAAATTTGTGAGATTTTCAGTTCTTAGTTCTTCGACTATTTTTTTCAGTCTTATTTACCCTCTCCTTTTTCTGAGACTCCAATTATATATATGTCAGACCATTGGTCATGCTACTCCTATCTCTCAATTTTTTTCTCTTTGTTCTTTATAATGGAACATTTCTATTGCTCTTTCTTAAAATTCACATACTCTTTTCCTCAGCAGTTACGGTCATCTAGTGAATGTATTTCAGATATTCTATTTCTCAGTTGTAAATTTGCCAATTGTTTCCTTTTATTGCTTCTCTTTCTCTGTAAGAATTGTCTCTTTGTATTTTGTCTTTATAAGAATCATAACAGCTGCTATTTAAAAAAACAAAACAAAGAAATCAGTCTCTTAATTCCAAAACGTAATGGTTGGTATCAGCTGATTGTCTTTCGAGAGTATGATTTATTTTCAGAGTTTAATTTTAAATTGTATCCTAATAGATTATTTTTCTTTTGAGGGATTTTTTTCTTTTGTTTTGGTTCTGGTTTTGTTTTTGTTTTGTTTTTTAGTAGGCAATATCTTGATTCAATTGAGAGCTGCAAACTTTGTTTCTCAGGTGCCAACACTCTGGTCTCAGTTCACATCTTTAGAATGATTTATGTCTGCTCTGCACGTATAATCCTGGGGTCAGCTACAATTTGGGGATTCCTGCTCTCTTTTCTTTCCCTTCTTTTTTCCTTTCTCCATCAGCAGAGATTTCCTTGGGTTGGAATTTGTGCCACCTAACGTGCTTTTTGCCTCAAGCTAAAAGCCAGGAAAACTAGTATTCACTGTACTAACATCCTTTCTCCAAGGACCAACTCTATTTCAGACTCTGCTTATACTCATCCTACAGTTCCTTGGAGTAGCTGGTTTTCATCGTGCATATTTTACGAGTTGCTTACTGCAGGGGAGTAAGTATGATAGAAATTTACTCATTCATTACTGGAAACAGAAGCCCTCAAGTTCTTATTTTGGCAGTTCAAAGCCCATTCTTTCACGGAAATATCAATAATCCAGTATTCAGGCCATCTGGCATCTTGGCTCTAGTTCTAGCTACAACATAATCTCAGCCCTCCTGCAACCAAAAACATTTCCTTGGTGACAGGCTGTATTCACAGGCGATACAGCACACCAAAAGCATAGTTTACTCAGGTGAGACTGGCTTCAATGCCCATTACTCATGTTCAAAGTAAATTTCCTAGCCATTTTTCCCTTAATCATACAAGAACCAAGTTGGTCTTCTAGTTCAGTCCTTACTTACAGCTATGTGTTTGTGGCCACAGGGTTACTATACACAAACATGTTAACCAACTGCTATTGGTGGGTGGGGGTGAGGGGTGAGGGGAATGAAGTCAGGTGGGTAATATAACCTTAAAACACAACACCGAAAAAGGTGTACTTACGTATGAAAATAGTATTAATTCAACAGATATAAAAAATTCCAGCAATTAACTCAGATATACGATACTAAGGGTCATATTAATTAAGCATTCCTAAGTGTCTACAATATGTCAGGTACTATGCACGCTATAGAGTTATTAAGATAAAGTTACCACTCTTAAAGAACTCTGTAATTCACTATAGTAGACTAAGTGCTTAAGTAATGATGTGGATATGTTATGGGATCAATGGAATAGGAAAGAGCTAAATTTTCTGAAAATATTGCCTAAGACTTAGAAAATATGTTAAAAAATCTGAATACAATCCAGAAACTAGGTGCTTGGGAGATTACAAATCATATGATTTGTAAAAGGGTATTCTTCCTCATTTGTACAATGAAATTTCCTGTGGTTACAGGTGTCCTGCACAAAATACATAAATATTCTTAATCATAAAACTCCAATACATGGATTTTACACTTATTGATCCTGACCCCTTATCATATATTTTTATTTTAACAACTACTTTTACAGCGCATTCATTATTCGACAGAGCAACAACTGAAATATCAATTCAATTGGGAACATCTCCAAAAAAAAAAAAAAAAAAAAAAAAAGGAAAATCTCACAAGGATAATGAAAATCTCTCTCATACCTCAATTATCTGCTCTCACACTGCTATAAAGATACCACCTGAGACTGGGTAATTTATAAACAAAAGTGGTTTAACTGACTCAAAGTTCTGCATGGCTGGAGAGGCCTCAGAAAACTTACAATCATGATGGAGGGGAAGAAGGCACCTTCTTTTAAAAAGCCAAACACATTTTAACCCATCAGATCTCGTGAGAACTCACTCACTATCATGTGAACAGTGTGGGGGAAACCACCCCTGTGATCCAGTCGCCTCCCACGAGGTCCCTCCTTCAACACATGGGAATTACAATTCAAGATGAAATTTGGGTGGAGACACAGAACTACTCTGTATCATTCCATCCCGACCCCTCCCAAATTTCACATCCTTTTCACATTTCAAAACCAACCATGCTGTCCCACTAGCTCCCCAAAGTCTTAACTCATTCCAGCATTAACCCAAAAGGCAAAGTACAAAGTCTCATTTGAGACAGGGAGATTCATTTGACAAAGTTTTGTTTTGTTTTGTTTTGCCAAAAGGCAAAGTAGAAAGTCTCATTTGACACAAGGAAAGTCCCTTCTGCCTATGAGCCTGTAGAATCAAAAACAAGTTAGGTATTTCCAAGACACAATAGTGGTACAGGTACTGGGTAAATATTCCCATTCCAAATGGGGGAAATTGGCCAAAACAAAGGGGTCACAAGCCCTACGCAAGTCCAAAGTCCAGCTGAGCAGTCATTAAATCTTAAAGCTCCAAAATCTCCTTTGACTCCATGTCTCACATCCAGAGCACACTGATACAAGACGTGGGCTCCCACAGCCCTGGGCAGCTCTGCCCCTGTGGCTCTGCAGGGTTCAACCCCCTCGGCTGGTTTCATGGGCTGACAATGAGTGCCTGCGGCTTTTCTAGGCTCACGGTAGAAGCCGTCAGTGGATCTATCTTTCTGGGGTCAGAGGATGGTGGCTTCTTGTCACAGCTCCATTAGGCCGTGCCCCAGTGGAGACTCTGTGTGGGAGTTACAACCCCACATTTCCCTTCTTCACTGCCCTAGCAGAGGTACTCCATGAAGGGTCCACCCCTGCAGCAGACTTCTGCCTGGACATCCAGGCATTTCCATACATTCTCTGAAATCTAGGCAAAGATTCTCAAAGCTCAACTCGTGTTCTATGCATCTGCAAGCCCAACACCACGTGGAACCTGCCAAGGCTCGGGGTTTCTGTCCTATGAAGCAACAGCCTAAGCTGTACCTTGGGCCCTTTAAGGCAGAGCTGGAGCTGGAGCTGCTGGGATGCAGGGCATCCATTTTTCCTCAAAATATTAGGAAACACAGTTTTCATAAGGCAAAGAAATGTGTGTGTTTTTAAATGGACTTAATAGTATGATTGGATTCAGAGCTAATAAACATTTTTAAAAAGAAGAGGAGCAAGTCCCACCCAGATGTATCAGGTAAAAGAAAGAAAAAGCATCCAAATAGAAAAAGAAGAAGTCAAACTATCTCTCTTTGCTAACGATATGATTTGATACCTAGAAAACATTAAAGACTCTGCCAAAAGGCCCCTGGAACTGATAAATGACTTCAGTAAAGTTTCAGGATACAAAACCAATGTACAAAAAAATCAGTAGCATTTCTACATACCAATAATGTTCAAGCTCACAACCAATGTATCCCATTTACAACAGCCACACTCATACCCTCAAAACCTAGAAATACATCTAGCCAAGAAGGTAAAAGATCCCTGTAAGGAGAACTATAAAAGTCAAAGTCATACCTTGATAAAGATTGGAAGAAGCAGTATCATTTAAATGACCATACTGCCCAAAGTAATCTACAGATTGAACACTATTTCTATCAAACTACCAATATCACTTATCACAGAATTAGAAAAAAACTATCTTTCACTATATACAAAAATTAACTCAAGACAGATTAAAGATTAAAATGTAAGACCTCAAACTATAAGAATCCTAGAAGAGGGCCAGGCGTGGTGGCTCACACCTATAATCCCAGCACTTTGGGAGGCTAAGGAGGGCAGATCACAAGGTCAGGAGATGGAGACCATCTTGGCCAATATGGTGAAACCCTGTCTCTACTAAAATACCAAAAATTAGCCAGGTATCGTGGTGTGTGCCTGTAGTCCCAGCTACTCAGGAAGCTGAGCCAGGGGAATTGCTTGAACCCGGGAGTCGGAGGTTACAATGAGCTGAGATCGCACCACTACACTCCAGCTTGGGTGACAGAGCAAGATTTCATCTCAAAAATAAAAATAAATTTAAAAGAAGAATCCTAGAAGAAACCTAGGAACCACCATTCTGGACATCAGCCTTGGGAAGGAATTTAAGACTAAGCCCTCAAAAGCAAATGCAATAAAAACAAATACTGACAAGTGGGATTTAAACAAGAGCTTCTGCACAGTAAAAGAAACTAACAACAAAATAAACAGACAACCTACAGAATGGGAGAAAATATTCACAAACTATCCAACAAGGGTCTAATATCTGGAATCTATAAAGAACTTAAACAATTCAATAAGCAAAAAATAACTCCATTAAAAAGTGGGCCAAAGACATGAACAGATACTTCTCAAAATAAAACATACAAAGGGCCAAAAAAACATTAAAAAATGCTCAACATTACTAATCAACAGAAAAATGCAAATCAAAACCACAATTAGATAACATCTCATACCAGTACCACAATGTTTGGGTAATTGTAGCCTTCTATTATGGTTTAAAGTTGGCTATTACGAAAGAGGCAAAAAAAAAAAAAAAAAAAAATGCTGTTGAGACTACTAGGAAAAGAGAACACTTAGATACTGTTGGTGGAAATTTAAATTAGTTCAGCCATTGTGGAAAACAATTTGGAGATTTCTCAAAGAACTTAAAACAGAACTACCACTTGACCCAGCACTCCCATTACTGGGTATACATCCAAAAGAAAACAAATCACTCTACCAAAATGACACATGTACTTGAATGTTCATCACAGCACTATTCACAATAGCAAAGGCATGGAATCACCTAGGTGACCATCAACAGTGAAGCAGATAAAAGAAAATGCAGCAAATACATACCACGGAATACTACCAAATAAAGAGAGTTGTGAAAGTTAGTGAATTTATGTATAAAATAAGTTCAAAATGACAATATAAATTTCAAGTTCACCATATATATAAATCACTATTTTTCTCTTAGATCCAACCTACAATGCAGCCCCTTTTTGAAGCACAAAAATTTTGGTGGGGGGGTAGTGGTGGTGGTAAACATTCACTTTATCTTAATTTTGTTCCAGGCTGAATTTGCTCTCTTAGAGTTTAAATAATCAGGAATTGCTTACTGACTCAACATTAGGTTCAAATGGGTTAACATATAAAAAGCTTTAACTAGTCTACAAGGCTCTGATAATTAATGATTACAAAACTTCTAAATGACATTTAAAGAATATTTATCTTTTATTTTTATTTATTTTGAGACAAAGTTGCATTCTTTCACCTAGGTTGGAGTGCAGTGGCTCAATCTCAGCTTACTGCAACCTGTCTCCCCAGCTCAAGCAATCCTCCCACCTCAACCTCTGAAGTAGCTGGGAACACAGGCACACACCACCATGTCTGACTAATTTTTGCATTTTTTGCAGAGATGAGGTTCTGCTATCTATGTTGCCCAGTTTGGTCTTGAACTCCTGAGCTCAAGCGATCCACCCACCTTGACCTCTCAAAGTGCTGGGATTACAGGTGTGAGGCACCATGCCTGGCAAGAATATAAACTATCTCAATAACCTTTTTGTGATGCAACAAAAAAACAAAATATTTAAAGTCTATGAAAGCATACAAGACACATCTTACAGCAAACAGTTTTTTAGCCTCAAAGGATTTACCAAAAACAAAGCTGCCAAAGAACAGTTGGAAAAAATAAAGTTAATTTTCTTCACCTCATGTCTTCCAAACAGATAAATAAAGGCATTATAGTTGCTTAATACAAGTTTTAATTGGGTGCTGTCACTGGTGGAAAGAAAGTGCAGAACCACTACTTTCTGTATCACACAAAGTAGGTAATTAACAGCCATTCTGGCACAATCCCTTATCACCAAAATATACAATGCTCTCAAAGCCAATGCTCAGTTACAACAAAGCTGAGCTGGTGTTTCAGGGTCACATTCACTTCTTTATTACACGAGCATAAATTTACTGCTCAGTCAGACACCTATAATTAAACACAAGAACACTATAATGCTAATATTCAGGCGAGCCTGCATGGAATGGGGTTCCCCCTCCTCCCCATAAAGATGATTGCCTTTCATTTTAGAGTTTCAAGTAGCTACAGTTCACTTAGTTTTGATTACATAGCAATTAGATATGCAAATACATAAGATCCAGAAAAATACTTTTCAAACATCAGATTGTGAGCAATCAGGCCCATTCTCTTCTCTTGTATATACATGCAGCTCATTAAACAACTATTGTCTAAAAAAAATATCTGCCTCAAATGCTTTGGTTTTTTTTTTTTTAATGTTAAAACATTCAAAACACACCCATAAATGAAATCTCTTTTGGCCACCTAGTGAGGAGTCCATGCCAGTGTTGGGTGGGAAGCACTGTGAGTGGCCAAAAAACACGCCTTAATTCACATTATCTATTTGTTTGAATATTTCATGGCTTGCCATAAAACTTTTAAAAATTCAATATACAATTTAAAAGTCACTGTATTAAGTGACACCTATTATTAACAAAATAAAAAAATATTACCAAGTATTACTAAATAGTCCAACTATTTGACTGAGAAACGATTTCGTCTTACATTATGGGTTTATATCAGGAGCTACATGTGGGTGTTACTGTGGAGAATCATGCATACTTTGAAGGGGAGAATTTGTATTTCATAAATATCAAAAATGGTCAGTTATGTGTGTGGGGGGGTATGGCTTGAAAATCTAATATGGCCACCAACAGTCTTTGCAAAACATGCTCACATATTGTCTCTAGCTTAAGCAAA